CGTAATATTGACTACAGTTGGCGCCATGTAATTGGGCACAGAAAATGGTGGGCAGCTCATTAGACTATCATCGTCTTTCAACGGCGCATCATAAGCTGAACTAGCTGCACTTAGCCTCGGTCTCGAGTACTTGTTACTGTTTGTGGTGGGCGGAGTTGTTCTAGTTGGTGTCTGAAATTGCTTGGCTCGAAACGGGGTAGCTGCTGACCTGGCAGATTGAGGGGTGAGAGATTCTTGATTTTCGAACGAGAAGTTGTTGGGCTTGTAGTTACTGCTTAGAGGGCTCCGTTTGTGCGCCGAAATGGGCCTTTGAGGAGTTGAAGTTATATTCGTTTTCGGAGCTTGGGTTGTTTGAGAGGTGCTTGTTTGAGGCAGCTGTCTCTCTAGCCAATTCCACCACCACGGAAATCCGTTTGACCGTACGTCGAGAGGGGTTTGACCGGGTTTCGGAGTAGCTTTCCACAGCTGTTGCATAGTTTAATCAATCGAAGGAATTAAAAAACGGATCAATTAAAAATAAATCGTTAAGAGGGGTATTTTATCTCTCTCATGAAAATTGACGTGTAATAATTGTTACCTGGTTAGAGTATGCATAGGCCATTGCTCTCTCTCGTTTTATGACGGCCTCGACTTTTTTCCGCATTCTTGCTTCGACTTCCTCTTTTGTCAGCGAGCTATCATCCCAATCTTCGGTTTGACCGGCTTCGGACTAGAACAAAGTCAAAACAAAAGTGAGAACAGCTACCAGAAAGAAATCAAGAATGTCCAATTCGAGACTATGTTGACACAATATACACGATAAACAGAGTGCATAGCTCAACGTAGCATAGGTGAAGTATAAAAGACGACGACTAAACAAAAACGGACAAAGACGAAATTATTCTGTAAATTTCGACGAATTGCGGAAGAAGATATAAATATCATCATTTGAGAACACACACTCACGAGTTGGTTCAAGGTCCATTTGCTGAGTGTACTCTCGACTTGGTTATTATTATTCTTACTATACGTTTGGTTTTCCAGCATTTGGATCCTCCTCGACTGAATTTGCGTCTGAACCCGGACGAGGAGCTGCATTTGCTTCATAGCACTCATCGTCTGTCGCTTTACGTTCTGCCCCCTCACGACTCCTTGAAGCCTCACTAAACCTTTCAAAGCTCTAAAACTCCGTCTCGCCTGTAATAACATAACACGAGTAAGAATTAATCATCACCGAATCGGATTTCAAGTTTTATAAGTTGGAATATTTCTACAATCAACTTTTGGGCAGAGTTAGACTAATTTTACCAGATAACCTCTATAAGCAGCCTGGATCATAGTAGCCGAACGGTGCTGGTTCGTTAAAGACGGTTCTGCCCTCTGGACATAGCTAATTTCCTTTCGGCTCTGTGTTACCTTAGGAGGAGCAGAAGACGAAGAAGCCTTGGAAGAAGAAGCCCCTGCAGTAAAAGATTTCCTAGGTGGAGCAGCCTTCGGAGGAGAAACAGCCTTCGGAGGAGAAACAACCCTCGGCGAAACAACTCTCGGTGAAGAAATTACCGGAGAAGCAGCCTTAGGGGAAGAAATTCTTCTAGAAGAAACCCTGGGTGAAATCGGCCTACCGGGCAAAATAGGTGGAGTTTTCGGCTCATCGGAAGAAGTTGGAGCCCTAATAAGCAAATGATCAGCTTCCCCTAATATTTTCTCGATGCTGCTCGGTTCTCTAAACAGGGGAATGAAAGATTTGTTTTCGCCGTGGCTTAAAATTCCTTTACCCTTCTTCTTTCCCTTACTGCTCTTCTTGTCTGAAACCTGGCGATAAACGATTTATAATTTTTTTTTTAAATGAATATCGAAGGTCGTCTATATATATTATATAGTCGAAAGAGTTGCTACTTACATCGGTTGGCTTGTCCTTTGAGCTGTGTGTGAAAACCCTCTTGATAGCTGAAAACCAGCTTCCCTTCTTCCCCATGTTTTAAGCATTACTATTTCTACCTACATAAACCGAACAAAAGTTGTCAGTTTAGTCCTTGAAATCCAGAAACATATGTATACTCGATTTCCACGGAGTAGCTAAACGACAGCATATGCGTTTCGTTCTTACAAGAATCACAAATCTTGAACTTTGGTCTGTACTATTAGGCCAAGAAAACTAGAACTGCCTAATTTCTTGCACAACCCAGGAATCGAATCTTCGTAAATAGAAATTTCCATTGGATTCGGAACGAGTTAATACCAAATGAATTGTTCACAAAATAGTAAGTATATATACTAAACACTACAGTCGATCTCTCGATTGTTTATGGAAAGAAATTGATGATGTTCCCGGTTATTACAGATTCCTCAGACTTCAAGAACCAAGCAAAGAAATAAATAATTGCTCAAATCCGGACAAATATCATACCAGCAAAATTAAATAATTAAATTGGAGTTGCATGAAAACAGCCGTTAGATATGTCCAACGGCTACAAACAACCAACAACCCCCCCACCCACAGACAAAGAAAGGTAGAATCTATGAAATTATTACAAAGTGGTCAAAAAGATCCACAGATTTTTTGCCAGAAATCCCTCCACTCCAACTTATTTATACTTAAATTCAAGAATCAGCCAACAAAAAAATAATAATAACTAAGAAAGATCCACAATTTTTTTTTTTGCCAAAACCCAACTACTCACTGGTTTAACTCACTGGTTTAAGGGGAGGATAGAAACAAAAAAAAAAAAAAAACCCTCCAATTTAAGAGTTAGCCAAAGAGAAAGGAAGAAGAACCCACATAATAAAATTTCACAAAAAAAAAAACAAAAAATATAATTTTTATGACAAGAAAAGAGGAAAAATAAATACTAACTGTTAAATAATTTGGAGAGAGAAGTGACCTAATCCCAAGAGATCACCACCACATGCAATAATTAAAATCAGTTTAAAATAGAATTAAGCACCTTTCACTGTGGCTTCCAGTCTCCCAAAAGCTTCAAGAAAAAAGCTGCACCAAATGAAAAAAAAAAGAAAACCCACAAAAAATCTCTCTACTCTCTCTCTCTCTCTCTCTCTCTCTCTCTACAACGGCAGAGACAGTAGACAAGTTTCTCTCTCTAGCCGGCCTCTTTGTGGGTGTAACATAAACATAACATCCCTCTTTCGTTCACACTAGCTAGTAGTTAATACCTTTAATTTCCTAACCCCTTCTCTCTGTCAAAATTGGCGAACTCCTCTCTCTCTCTCTCTCTCTCTCTCTCTCTCTCTCTCTCCAACTTTCTTTCTACCTATCGTGTGTGTGGGGGTGTGGGGGTGTGTTGAACTTTGAATAAGGTTCTTGCTTGCAAATTAAAAGATTGCAACTTTATTTTCTTTTCTTTCTTTTTTTTTTTATTTTTTTTTTCTGCCGTTGCCCACCTTTTCTTTTAGCTCTTATATTTTTGATAATTCTTTCTTTCTTTTCTGATGGCTGGCATCATGATTATTACTCATCATGAAAGTTATGTTCTTATTTTATTATTATAATTATTATTCTGTCCCATGATTATTTATTCTTGTTTTTTTCTTTTTTATAATATCAGGACATTTTTATTACTTCAATTGAAACCTTACACTACAATTATTTTTAGGGTAAATCACGGCCACGCCTGACGTAAGGTCAAATTACGATAAAAAAATCATCATGTTTGGATAATTACCATCATCTCTCCTCGACTATGAATTTCTTACACTTTTATCCTTATGAAGTCAAATTCAACAGCATTTTCTAAATTACGTGAAATGTATGGTAGTTTGTACTCGTTTGCAAAAATACGGTTTTTGATGCAACACAATCTGATATTTACAAACAAAGAGACATCTTATGATCATCTTGTTTCAAAATATGAAGCATGAATGAGATAAAACGGGTATAAACTAAAGGATACTTCACATAATCTAGTATATTCTTCCAAAGTTGGCACCACAAATATGAGGATTTTTTTCGTAATTTAACCTCACATCAGGCGGTTGACCGTAATTTACTCTTATTTTTAAGTGCATAAAAATAAAAAAAAAACAAAACAAAACTAGTTATTTTGTCAATTAAAGAAACTTGAATACGTGGGATTAAACAAAAATAATAATAGGGATTTAATATAATTAAAAGAAAAAAAAAAACAA